GTTGAACTTTTTATAAGATGCTTGGCCTAAATTTTTTTTTTTAAAGTCAGTTTCATGAAAGACAAAAATAGGCTGGGAACCTGTTCTAAATTAAAAGAGACTAAAAAGGCATGTCATCTCAATGTGTGATCTTTGATTGCATTCTGGATAGGAATTAACAACAGTAGATAAAAGGACATTGCAGAGACAACCGGTGGAATGTGAGCATGCTTGAACATTAGATAATACTGCACTCATGTTAAATTTCTTGGATATGGTAACGGTATCTAAAAATTAGGTGTTCTTAGGAGATGTAAGCTGACGTATGTGGAGGGGAAGTTTCTGCAACTTTTAAAAAATGGTTTAAGTGCAGTAACAAACAGAATATATACTTTTTAGTGTATTGACAAAAAGTATAGTATATATTGCGATTGTTAAGCACTTAGCCTTTTTTTTTTTTTCCTTTTCACTACCTTTCTGGCTTTTTGCATCTCAGTCAGGGTTGGAAAAGACCTTTGAGTCCCCTCCTGCTGCTTCACTGGAATCTACTTATTCTTTATATTGAAGACTAGTTATTTCTAAGCTTTCTAATCTTACCACATTCTATGAATATTTCATATATAAGCTGTAGAATTTGCCCATAGACTTAAAAAATGAACAAAGTCATCTGAGTGGTTTCCCCTATCTTTTTGTTGTTGTCATTGTTATTTGAGAGAGAGAGAGAGAGAGGGAGAGAAGGAGGTTGCACAAGTGTGGCAAAATGCTGGCCATTGATGACTCTTGTTGAAGGGTTTGTGGATAGAATTTATTTTACTACGTTTTTAGCTTTTCTGTGAGTTTAATTTCTTTTTAAATAAGATATTTGGATATAAAAATGAATGAATAATTACAAATGAATACTCTATCATAACTCACTACTGGTTCTCCTTGTCTGTCATCTGTAGTTAGCGGATTAGCAATATGTAGGCTAAAACATGACCCATCTAAAGTCAGTCTCGGAAATGGCCTCCTAGGCTTTACATTTTGGTTCTGGGCTCTGTTTTAAAGTCAATTCCAATGTATTTACAATGGGAGAGTTATCACTCTGTAATTCTACTCATGGCACTATGAACGATGACTTTCCAAGTTACAATAAGCCCTAATTGTTTCTTTGGTGAGCTTTTATCATATACGTATTATTGAATGAGTGAAAATAAGCATCTTGTAGAAAATAATAACTTATGAATGGCTTATTCATATGGGTTTTATAGCTATTAGTAAAATGACACAGTCATTGAACACCTTTTGTACCTCACCTCTCATATTCTTGTTCCACCTTTATGCATCAGCCATTGCTATAGCAACCACCTCTGCGTAGGTATGACTTCGTGGCACTTTGCCTCAGCTGCAATACCTTTTTCTCACTTTCTGTCCCGGAGCTTCTCTGCTACCACTCTACTTCTTGGGACAAGTATGACAGAGTTTTTAACCTTATAGGCAACTCGAAGGAGTACTGGAGCCTGGGGATAGATATTCCGATTTTTTCACCCCTTAGGTGAGAAGATCTGAGGCACATTTCATGGGGTTCCTCAGAGGGCTTTCAGGAGAATGGAGCCCTAATTACCTAGCACCTTTGAATCGACTTTTCCTCCTCCCCTGCTTAACTCTTCCAGTCCTTCAGTACTGTTTCTTGAGATCTACATGTGAATCTTTGGCTCAGGCTTTGCTTTTTGCTTTTTGGACTAAGACAATGGCATCTCTCCAGTCATGGGTGAAGAATATGAGAATTATTATTACAGTGACCACTTAATAGGATTGTGTGGTATCCAGCAAAAGCATTAGGCAAAGAATCAGGAGAATATTCCTTGTTGTTATTTGGCCTCTGGCATGTTATTTAACCATCAGCTAACTGGTCAATCTACAGTGTTAAGGAGTAAAGGAGAAGATACGTTGGTTAATGTGTACGATTTTGTTACTAGTTATAGAACTGTGGCCTCTGGTATCCAGTATACATTGTTGAGAGCAGCAAGATAGTTTCTGAGTCTGGAGGTGATGAGAGGGTAGATGAGCAAGCCAAAAGAAGGACTGGTTGGTCGTGGGACTTGAGCAAGACTTCAGTTAAAAATAGAGACTCTATAGTGAGAAAGAGGCCTACTCTAATCCCTAATGGGGATTGAAATTTAGAAGCAAAGCTCTCACCAGAAGGTCAAGTAGGGCAACGGGGGAGGAGGGGTGTCTTGGGGCAAAAATCTCACTGCATTAGTCTAGAACTTATTAAATTTCATCAATCTAATATAAGAAACTAAAAATGGGGAGTACTCCCAACTCAGAGGGATAACAGAATAAGGAAGCTGGATACCAATTGAAGTCTTGCATGCACAGGCTAGTTGCACACTATAATTACTTATTTTATTGTGTAGCTCAGGATAATTCTGTGACTTTTGAGTCTCTGTGGTTGGATATTCCAGTGACTTAGGGCATGGGCAGTTAATGTATTTTCTGCCAGAGTGCAGATGTTGTAGACCTTATTAAATCATGTCTCTTTACTGATACCCCCAGGGAACACTTAATGAATGATGCTTCCCTTAAGAAGAAGAATAATTAACAATAGCTATATTATTCATATTAATTTATAGTTACTGGTTGCTATAATTAATGCTATGTATGAAAATCATCATAATTATAGCACTTGAAAATTTACAAAGCATTTTCCTACTCCATTTTTTTTTTTTTTTTTGTCTGAATCTTTTAACATCCCTCTGGCTTAGGTAGGGCAGATGATGTTCCCCTTGTTTGATAGATGAGGAGACTATGGCCCAGGAAAGAATTTAAACAGGCTTCAATCCAACACCCTTACCGGTATATTGTGATGTCTATTAGCATATGGAAAAACATTTATCAAATTCATATTTATTATAATGTTATATCTGCACATAAGAGAATCAGGTTCACACAGTTCTCAGTTGCCTTCTATAATAAGACCGTCCTACCTTTTCTTGTTTTACCAGGACCCAGTGCCAGAATAGCCACATGAATTTTAAATAAGATTTTTTTCTTAATAATGCCACAATATTTCATAATTATTAATATTCATTGGGTTAAAGATGAGCTCATCTCTGACAGAGGAATTAACACTTTCCAAATATTTGTTCCTAGGGCAAAGTCCACTGGCCTTATAGGGTTTGGTCGACTGGAAATTCAGACTCTGAGAAAATATAACCAACATGTCATTTCGCTTTTTTTTTTCTTTTTTCCTTTCATTTTTTGGCTGTGTAGCAAGGGAGCTGAGTAAAATCTCTCCTTTTTCACAAAGGCAACCTTCAAATCTGGGCTATACAGTGGGAGATACACAGACACGCACAGGTGTGCACAAATACGCACACTGAGCCCTTTGGTTCCCTTTCTATCCGTGATATATGCTCTATATACTAGACTAGAGCATCCATTTATCTTATTGTACCTTTATCTATTTTTACCCAAAAGGGGACCTATGTCAGAGCCTGTCATTATTTATTCATGTGTTTACTTAAAAACATTTATTGAACACTTTCATGGATCAGGCCCTCAGAAAGATTTTGGGGAATCAGCGAGAAGCAGAACAAAGTTTTTGCCTTCATGAACTTTACCTTCTCCCGGGGGAGATGGATGAAAGACAATATATGTCAAATATAATGTTAGATGGCGATAGATATTGTTAGAAAAAATAAACAAAGCAGGTGAGAGCATAGAGTACCATAGATGGGTCATGCACATACATCCAGAATGAGAAAATGATGAGAAGGCTGCTTTAGATAATGTGATAAACGATATGGATGGTTAAAGAGGGCTCACAACAAAGGATACCAGCTACCTCTGGGGCAGGCAGCAGTCATTGGTTTGACCCCAAGGGGTCGGGCCACAGCTTCACAGAGGTTGGTGTTATCCAGGTGCTTGGGATAGATCGAGTCCGAAGTGATTAATTCATGGTTGCTAAATTCACAAGAAAGTGACTGATATACCAGATCCACTTAGGGCTGTTTGAAGCAGAGATTTAAATAAGTTCCAGAACTCAGAGAAGCTGGTTTGATGAGCAAACTACTAGGGGAAAAGGAACTAGTGGTCTTAATAGGCAATTCCATTATGCTATTGTTGCTTGATGCAGCATATTGACTAAAAAGATAAATTTACTAAAAGGATTATAAGATTTAATGCTAGCTTTTCAGGGTATTCTATTTTTTGCTGTTGCTGAGGATATTCTGGTTTCTTGGCTAATGCTCTTTCTAAACTTTTCCAGACACTATCCTGATTCCAAATCCTAGGGCCGCTTTGTACTTCCCTGCCTTAAGCTCTAGGCAAACTGTTTTCTTGAGCCTTCTCACAATGCCTGGGAATGTGCTTGTAGCAGTGTTATTGTCTTCCACTATTGATTCTGAGTGCAGGTGGAAGTCGGCGCTTCTGATAACATGGAGCATTAACATATGAAATGCACAGAGCTCCAGCTTCAGAGTCAGTGACCACTGGCACATGCTTCCTATGCAGCTCCTTGGCCAGAACTCTAAGCAGTCTCATTCTAGTTTATTTTTCAGACTCATTGCTTGGGATGTGCCTTCTTTCTCTCTAACACAGACACACATAATACCCACTTATTCCCCGCTGATTCCTCTTCCTGGAATGTTAGTCTCCCACCCTTGCCCTTTCCTGCTCCAACTAAAATGTCATCATCCAAAGCAATGGTTTTTGAACACAAAGAGCTTGTAATATCTTCCCAGTTGAATCTGCTTCCTGAATAGAGGATGGAGATATTTATTTCCTTTTACCTTTATACTCATCAAAAAATAAGTGTGTGACCTTAGGAAAATCACCGTATACCTCTCAGCTTTCTTATTTGTCATAAAAGCATAATTCTACTCCAGACTATCTCACTGAGGTTTTATATGAAGGGGGAAAAAGGTGCAGAAAAGCTTGGACAAAGCCACACCATAACTTGAGGAATTCGAACTCAGACTAGTGTCAATGGAAACTGAAAATTTCTTTTTTTAATATGTCTGTGTTGCTTCTGACAGGGAAACCCTGGAGGTAAGACCCTCGAGGAGAGACGCTCCAGCCTGGATGCTGAGATTGACTCACTGACTAGCATCTTAGCTGACCTCGAGTGCAGTTCCCCCTACAAGCCCCGGCCCCCACAGGTAAGAGCTATCTGGAAATGTCTCTAGATTGCCAGCTTTACAATTATCTGAAAGATTAAGCTGCTGCTTACTGCCCTTCCTTTTCTTTTTTTTTTTCTTTTTTATCTTCTCAGAGTCAATCAACAGTCTAAATTGTCTTTTTATTTAATATCAACATGTTAACAGACAGAAACTTCTTAAATTGATTTTATTAATATTTTCTTTAAAATATGACAACACCACTGCACAAAAAGTTCATGCAAGATAATTCCCTTCTTATTCCATAGCCTTGCTCTTTTTCTGGCTTTGCGTATGTGCATGTTTTGTTGCATGTCGTTATAGTCTTAACAGATAAGATTCAGCATGGATATGCTAAAGTTAAGGTGAAGACTGTACCTTTGTAAAGAAATTCTATATGTAAGGCAGCTTTCGTTTTTTAGTGGTTGTTGTATGTAATGCTTCGAGGGACATGTTTGTGCATATTTTCTTTGGAGCTATTTCTCTGCCTCAAATTCCTAAGAGTAGGATTTCTACATCGAGGAATATGACCACTTTCTTTACTTTTCTTTCTGAAACTTCCAGTTCCTCCTTAGTCTCACCAGAATTTGGTGATAGCAATTAATCTGTGTTTTTAAAAAGCAAATAGTGCCTTGTTATCAGTTTTTGTTTGTTTGTTTTACATTTCTTTGATTACTTTGGACCTTGGCTATTTATCTTCATCTTAGTTTATTATCTGCATTTCAGAAGCTGATTTTCCATCCCTAGTGGTCATTCCCTATTTCTTTCAGGTCTTGAGAAGGTAAAATAGCAAATCGACTGCAGGACTTCTGGTCTTCAGAAGACAGCCAGTAGAACTCTAGTTGCAAGCATTGAACCGACACTATTGTCACTGGGTTGTTTGACTCTTGTGTTTGACTAAGTGACTGCATACGGCACTCTTGAGTTTCACTCCTGTTCTTGAATAGCAGCTCCTATATTCACGATGGTTCCTTTCACGAATTTAAAACCAGTTCTGCTTCTCTGCTGTCAGTCATTTCAACAATGAACTGCACATAAGGTGACAGTGCTTTCCCCTTTAGACATATTCCCGTTACCTTTTCTAGACACATAATGGGACTGTCAGCTATATGGGAGCACATGGCAAAAAACACTCTTTGCTCTTGGTCTCACGAGACCTATCAGTAGTGGAAATGCTATTTATTTCTGTAAACATGTACTGAGAGGCAGGTATGCAGCAGATGCTGTGGGCTTTGGGGGAACTGTTAGGCAAAGAGTAGATGGTTGAAAAAGAAAGTATAGGGCCAAGTTGTCACCTTTCAGAGCCCAGGATATAAGTTAAACCATGGCACATATTATGGAAACATAAGGAAAAGAGTGATATGTACCTTTGAAGGTGGCAGAATCTGAGAAGACTTATCAGAAGGCTTATGTGTTCAGCTGGAGATAAGGTTGGAATAGTAATATTAGATAATGACAGTGATGGAGAATAACCTGAGCCATAGGCAAGGAAGTTCCAGGCTGCCAGGAGGCTGTAGACAAGGCCACTGAAGGTTCGAAGTGGCTGTAGGCCTGGAAGGTTTCCCAGTGACAACCTAGGGACAAGTTTGAATGCCAGATTAAGATTTTGGCCTCTCTTTAATAGATAATGGGGAGAAGTTGAAGCTTCTTAGGCAGAGGAAAGCTAAATTTCATTCTGAAAATGGAACAAAGGAAGAAAGACCATCTCGGAAATGATGCAGGTGGAATGGCCCAGGTCTGAAGAATATTCTCCAGCAAGCTTTGCTTACTTCCTAGTTTCTGACCATTGCTTGATATTAAACATTTTTCCTCTTCCACTCAAGCAAATACCTCAAGCCCAGTTTCTCAGGATATCGAGGCCACTGACTTTGCCACTGCACTCACCTGTCTGTGCCCCACTCACTTTTTTAAAATAGGGTTTTTCTTTCATCTTTTTTTTGCCTCGCCTCAGATCTTATGCCCTAATGTATACTGGAGAGATTCTGCTTGGTGGTTTTTGCTTAATATAGCCTTCATTTTTTAAGGCTGTGTCTCTGTATGTCTTCCATAAGCTACTGCATTTTAATGGGTTTACTGAGTAGCTACATTTTTGTTTGAGCAATCTTATTGTGTACACAAACTCATAATCACTGACATTTGGACAGTACTTTACTGATTGTAAAGCGCTTTCACATGCACTCTCACTTAAGTAAGACATAGATAGCTCAGCTCTGAGATATAGACGATGTGCTTATTTTGAGGCTGAGGAAACTAAGGTTTAACAGATTAGTGACTTGTCTTTGTACATAGGACTATGGTGTGAGTACAGCTGGACCCTGAATTTAGATATGTTTGATTTTAAGTTCTAGAACCAGATTGAGAAAATCGGGATTATTTTTAAATGATTTTACCAATGACAAAAACTATGAAATCAGTTATATGAGTAACAGTGTCCCTTGAGTATGCTTTCTCCTAAAGAGAAAAACATTCAGAAAGTTAAAAAAAGTTAATAATGATAAACTTTAAGTAGAATAAGTTGAGAATTAAGGTAAAATCTACTTTTTTTTTTTTTTGTAATGAGCCCATTCCTTTCAGAAATTAAAGAGTGATCCTTTCTAACTTTTTTATTATTCTAATTTAGGAAAGCAAGAGTTAATTGAGAAATATAACTCATCCTTTTGAATTATCTTTACTGTGGTGGAACTGAATTAGAAGTGTTAGTATTTATTGGTTCACATAATTATATGTTGTGAGAATAATAATCACACACTTAAAATATTAAAAATATATGCCAAGAAAAGATGATGTCTGTAGTAGACTGTGTTGTGCTATAATTAAAAGGTACTTGAAAAGTCCTAGAAATGTAGACTGTTAATGTTCAACTTTGATGTTTTTATTTTTGATCCAAAACAAATTGCAAAATCCATTGAGTCACCTGACTACTTAAAGTAGGCTAGTAGGTCTGTGACTTCTCATGTTTCAAGCATGTGTTATGTGCTTTCCTGAACCCACCTCTGAATCACCTTTGTAAGGCTGTTTTGACTCATGGACCTAGGAGAAAATAATAATATATATAGAATGTTTATATACTTAGAGGTCCAAAGGAGCTCTGTTCACATAACAACTTTGAAAAAAATGTCTGAGCACTTGAAGATAGATTTTATGGAGCGTTTTACTCCTTTTTCCAAAGAGACTCTTTCTACTCTCAGATTTCCCAGCTTTAGTTCTGTTCACTTACTCATTCACATTTTTATTGGGAAATGTGGCTTAATTCTACATTTTCATTCATTTGCCTAACAGTTATTGAAACCCCACTAATGATCAGGCATTAGAAATATAAAGCTTTATATCAATATGTTCTTGGTCTAGAGTAATTCCTGATCTTAGAGAACAGACAAACACAGAAGCAATTCAAAAGAAGGTCTTCAATGTGCTACTTTAAGTTATCGTGAAATTGTTGGAAAATCAAAAATAGGAATATCAACATTATGCTTTATACCTTTCTGGGCAAATGTCAGAGAGGACTCCACAGAGCTCGGAGGATTTGAGTTTACTTGGCTGCCTCTGTCATGGGATTTAAGGTTCTAGAATAACAGTAATGAGAAAGTCAAGGAATGTTGAATGTGAATGCCTTGTTTGAAGAACAAGTTAGTTCAAATGCAATCTAGGGTATGTGGAGTGCAAAGGGAATAGGTAGATGAAATCACATGCAGTTAATACCTAAATAGCCTTCATGATGCCCAAGAACTCTCATAGCAAGAGGTAGAATTTAGGGGAGATAGTGTTTCTGCCTACAGTGGGTTTGGGAGTAATTCCTTTAGCATATTCTAAATAAGATATAAAAATGTACATCCGTACACTGCACAGAGCTAAGCAATTAAACTAACTTAGTATTTGGAACTAAAATTTCTAACTAGTAAAATTTGTGCATTAGGGAATAGTTTTAGAAGAATCATTGTGAAAATTAGGAGGAGGTGGTATGATCATAGAGTATCAGAGCTTAGGTGGGCCCTTGAGGTCATGAAGCCGAACTCTTACTTTACAGAAAGAAAATTTTTGCCCAGAATGGGAAAGTACTCAATGTACACTACTCAGTGTCACTCAGAGGCAGGAGGAATGATTCTTTTCCTTTTTCCTGAAACATGATGTAATCATTCTCTGTGGATGACAACAGCATCCAAGGGATAGTTAGATTCTGTTTAGTATTTAAATTAGTTTATTCCAAAATGTCTCTCTTTTTTGGTACTTTCTTTAAAATATGTCTTGGAAACATAACAAAAGAGTAGAGAAATCAAAAACGTAACTCAAAAAGTATACAGAAAATTTATGATAGTACAGTATCTGAGTTACTGTATATCTAGACCCCATCCATCTGGCATCATTTGTTACTAGAAGTACAGCTTAGACTCTTCAGAAGAGCTACACAAGGGTTCAGTTTAAAATTCTCTTGATTTCTTAGAAGACAAAAGATAAATCACGGACTTTTGATTTTTTTTCTTCTTTTGGCAGAATGAGGGCTAGTGTTCTGGTCTTCTGATTCCTAGTACAATGCTGCCTTTTCTTCTCTGCAGTGAGTTCGATAGGGTTGGAGCTGGTGCCTACATGACTTGGAAGAACTTTCAGATATCTTATATTAATATTTCATGGTAACTGGGGATTTAATAATTTTTCAATCAGGTTGCTTTTGAATTGGTCAAAAGCAATTTCACTATCCTCATTTAGACTAGAATAAAAAAAAAGAGAGAAATTTTGGGGATAAGGATTGTCTTGGGCATAGTTTGATAGCCTGGACTCCAAGTCTGCCAATAAGAAGAGCACTGTCTTCTCAATTCCATGTGCTCAGCTTTCTAAAAAGAGCTCCATTTGTGTGAACTGTACACATTACCAGTCTGAGCTTTCTTTTCTTTATTTCTAAAATGGGCATGGTGACTACAATTATTCTCCCTTGCAGAGATACTCTATTGTTCTAGAGTTAGAAGAAATCAGATATTGGCCTTAAGCAACAGGTCACTCAATTCTTCTGA